TATATTCTTCCCACACCTTGACCCTCCATTATACCACCCAGGCACCCAGTCGATAGCGCCACAATCAGTTCCGAGTTATTATGATACTTGTCATCACCCTTCCATGGACCTCCCCCATCGCCACCTTCGCCAAAGTCATTGTTTGTTAGATTGGCTTTCGTTGAGGAGGTGACGGTAGGGGAGCATTTGAATTGAGGAAAATTTTTGCCGTTGCAACTTAGTGTACCTGAGGACTGGCATTGACCGCTGGGCGTAGGGCCAGGTTTTGCACATATTTGAGTCCTAACGTCGGGATCGTCGTTGCACTTGCCGTTGATGCAAATGAGCTGACCGTCGCAGTCGTCAAGGGTTTTGCATGGCCCATTGCAGTGGGAGATGGCATTCGAAAGATAAGAGAAAGAGAAGGCATGTTTAGCTTGCAATTAGCTTTAAGTTTAAGAGTTAGAGATTGCTGGTTTCATTGAATTTAAAGAATTTTAGTGACTCGTAATTGGTGCATAGTGTGGCCTAGCAGGTTCCACACAAAAGTCTTTGAATTTTAAGTCTTAGTCATGTTTTATTTTAAAATATGAATTTAAGAAAATAAAGTAAAACTACATTTTAAAAATTTATATATTCTAAGTTAGGAATTTTTTTTTTTTTTTTTTGTTAATTGCGATATTCAAACCAGTTTGTACGCACCTCAACAAACCCTCATAGTGTATTGAATATCTTATAAACTTAATAAAATAGAAACATAAGTAACTTATCTAAATGACTAAAATCTTACCATCTAGCCACAAACTAATGGTTAAATTAGGAATATTAACAAGGTGTCATCATAATTATACATTAAACTAATTTTTTTCATTTTAAAATAATTTTATATAAACATATTTTTCTTTTCTTTCAATTTAACATATCTTTAGTTTAAAGAATATGATATCAAAAATATTTTTGAATTTTATAAACACAAAATTAAATTTCTTTACTTTTTGAAAATAAAATTTTCAAAGAGTCAACTGACCACAATCACCTTCCGCGGCCCACGTACCAAACACCCTAATTTGATGTTTGTATAGTCAACATTTTAACCATTATAAGTTTAGAATTATAATATGCAAATTACGATATTATTCCCTTGAAAACAGCTGCTATATCATAACCCAGATAACGGGAGACATGTCTTTGATTAGAAACAGGGCAAAGCAGAGTAACCCAGAAAGTTCAAAACAATCCCTAGCCAAAAAAAAAAAAGTGGTGTGTTATTAAATCATTTGATCAAAATAAGTTAATATACATAACCATTTCCATAAATTATAAGCTTGTTCACACGGTAATATCAAGAATAGAACATAGCAGTTGATTGAGAGCACAATGAATAGACACAACGGCGGTAACACATACAGTAAACTTTACAATAACTGCAGCAACAACGTAAAGCAGGAACACAATCGATACTTGAAATTTAAGTATTGAATGAGAAAATGATTCATAGGATAGATAAAAACATTGGCATCAGAACTTGGCAGTTGATTGAGAGTCCATACGAATAAATACAACAAAAAACATACAGTAGCGTTGAATTTGAGTATGATTCATGGGATAGATAAAAACATTAGCATCAGATCATTTTTCACCATTGGTAACAAAAGTTTTACATTAGAACACATGGCGATATTTTAAGAAAAAAAACAATTAAGGACGAGAATCCTACTACAACAAATTTTTAAAGCCTACAGCAAATGGCCATGAAAATTGTTGTGATGTGGCATTGACTTATGCCTACGTGGAAGCCAACCTATAACTTGGAATGGTCAAAGTTATTTGTTAGAAAGCTAAGGGGTATTTCTGGCTTTTCCCATTGTCAATAAACCTAATGTAAATTAGGTTTTGCTGGATCGAGTTTTCATTCTCGATCTTTCTCTTTTGGTTACAGAGAGAGAAAGGTTGTTACGGATTGGGGTGTGCTGGAACCTTGAAGATCGTTGATGGAATCAAACGGTGGTGGTAGGTCTTGGCTGTGCTTTCTGTTTTCCCTTTCATCTTGTGCATAAATCTCACTGTTTTTCTGGTTGTTCTTTGAGGTATGAGAGGAGAGGAAACATCTGGGTTTCAGGTGTATGGGTCCTTTCTCGGGTTCTGATTTGTGTAAAGGAGTAAGCTAAATCTCTGTAAGGTTTTCCTATTTCTCATGGTGAATATTTCATACTGTCTTGAAGAGTGGATGTAGGTAATCTAATAGATTACCGAACCACTATAAATCCTGGTGTCCCTTATTTTCTTTTCTTGCTTTACTTTATTGATTATTGCTTGTGAGTTTGCTTGCTTGGATTGAATACTGCACTCGTGTATGCAATTTGGTCTCATGTTTAACAATATAAGGACTTACTTAAGAAAAACCATGACATTTTTCAAAGTCTTAAAGAGGAATACCTGTTGTTCGCAGATGGGATGACTTGTAAAGTCACTCCAGTACTTCAATATTTAAGTTCTCTCATTAATTTTTATTACAGATTCCCATAATGTGTTTTCTCTTGTGGTTTAGGTGTTATTATACATCATGTTAATTAGAGCAAAATTATATATTTCATGAAGAAACTTAAACTAAATCCATTGAAACAGGGTAAAACAGGGGATATGGTTTTTATAGGCAGACAACAAGGAAGACCATAACAGTAGCAACAACAACCACATTTCAAAGTAGATATTACACAGAATGTTTAAGAAAACTCCTTGCCTTACAACATGGAGATTACAAGAAGAAGACATTGACAGTAGATATTGCATGCTGATAACAAGCAATACTACACCATTATTGATGACACAACATCAATTACAAGCAATGAAGCAATATAGTACCTTTATTACAAGAAAAAGCCATAGTCATCCTGGGGTGACCACTGGAAAAGATGGATTCATCAGCATCATTCTTCATCTACTCATGATAATAGAAGATTTGCATCAGTCAACTAAATTAATTCATACAATAAGTAATAAACAAATTTAAAAAAAAAAAAGAAAACTTATAATTTCATTTTCGGCGACAGCAGATGGTTTCTGGTAACCAGAGACTTTTTCGGTGTGTTACGGTAACAAAATTGATATTAAAATGATTGTCTATAAACGACCTCCCTATCTATATAACTTTAAATTGGAAAAATGATTGTGTTTGGCCCAAATCTGATCGAGAAAGTGTAGCCACATGAACTTTCTCCGTCAGATCCTGGCCAAACGTTGAATATATTGCTAAAAATAATTGCAGATATAGACAGATCGTTAAAATTGAATTATTTGAGTACCAATGTTGTTACCTAATATCGCCAAAATAAATTCCAGCAATGGATCGCGGTTGTCGGTATCAGATTCCGATAGTCAGAGCTTCATCAATTAATTAAGTAATTTTTTTAAAAATGTTTTAAATAAAATAAATTATAAGAGTACATTTTTATTTATGATAAAAAAATAAAAAAATATATTTATCAGATAATTGATGATTAAATACAATTACTATCATATTAGAAGGATGCTAATCCAACTATTAAATTATTTAAAAAAAAGTTTATTTGTTTACTGAAAAAAACTGCAATATTTAATAGTAGAGAAGTGAATTTAAGAGAAACACACTATTAAAAAAACTTACTTGTTTTAGGAGACTGACCTATTGATTCAGTGAGTGATGGGACTACTCGTTACTCGGCATCTATTTCTTCAATAGCTTCTCAAAATCTTCTGTCGAAAGAGATGACAAATATTTACTAGTGTAACTAAAGTATTCTCCTCTAATTGTATGTGTATAGCTGATATGTATTTGTGGGATTTGTTTAGTGACATTTTCCCAGTTCTCATTTTTTTTTTTATCATGCAATAAACCTCCTTCAACGTGAATTCAAATCCAAGTTCCTTTAGGTTATTGAGATGCTCAATTTAACAATGGGCATGGTCCAATATATAGCTTTGTAAGACTAGGCATTGCACCTTTCTCTATCATTATGCATTTCAATCCTTTGAAGTTCCAGAGATACAAGTATTGGAGCTTTGGAAACCAACCTTCTTTGAAATGCAATTGTTCATCACAATCATGCATAGAGAGAATAAGCACCAACAAATTAGGCAGAGCTTAAAGCATTGTCATTGAATCATTGGTTGATCCATTCAAATCCAATTGTAATCTCATTAGATTTTCAAGTTTAAAAATTCAAACTGGTAGAATTTCAATAAACATCTCTCCCAAATAAAATTGCTGAAGACATAAAGGAGGAGAAGCCAAGGATTGTGTATCAAGAGGCTCTTCTCCACTTGTAAATGCTAATACGATCAAACATTCAAGCTTTTCCGTTTTCTGGACAATAGCAAACAAATCCTTCACATCTCTATTTGTGACCCAAATGCCCAACTTTCTCATCTGCCTCAGTTTCTTAAGCTCTTCAAGCACTTCACTGTTTGCATGCACATACTTTAGCCGCTGCAATTCTGTTAAAGCACCAAAACAACCTTGTATTTTTGCTCTATCTACATAAGGACCTTCGTTGTCCCAACGTCGTACAATTAGGCAATGCAATTTTTTCAAATTCTTGATCTCAACCGGGGAGCTCACCAACAAAAGTCCACTTCAAATCAAGAGTCTGTAAGTTGAGAAGCATGCCTATGGACTTGGGAAGTTCTTTAACTTTTGTATTTTTCAAACTTAAGTAGTGCAAATGGAAGAGCTTTCCCACTCCATCAGGAAGACAATCCAAAGGGGCATTTTCAAAATCAAGTATCTTTAAGAGCTTAAAATCAGCAACATATGTAGTCACGAAAGTCTCGGGCAATTTGTCTACATTGAAAAGACAAATGGAACGGATCTTTGAATTTTTTATGCTCTCTAAAACACCATTAGCGCATTTGTCTATTGAAATACGCCGAGTTTTACTAAAGTGACTCAAGTCTTTTTCATCAAAGAACCGACAAAAATCACATTCCTTCATCTTTCTACGAATGGTCTCGTACATCAAATCATGAACTCTACAACTTTTAGCTCATCCAGAAGCTTTTGTTTCTGAAACTTGAACCAAGCTTCTATCAATAAGTTCTTTCAAGTATTCTTCAGCAACATGCTCAGATGGAAGGTGGTCATTGCATTGGACAAAGCTTTCAGCTATCCAGAGGCGAACTAATTTGCCAAAACTAATTTTGTAGTCTTCTGGAAACACACCAAAGTATAAGAGACATGACTTGAGATGGTGAGGGAGATCATAATAAACTTCAGACAAAACATTGTTGCAATCTCTAAGATGGAAATCGCTGCTTAATTTTGAGCCCAAACTATCAAGTATATTTCTCCATTAAAAAACAATCTTGTTTTTTCTTGAGAGAAGCCCACCTATTGCAACAATTGTTAGAGGTAGACCTCCACATTTTCCAACTATACGTTTCGATAATTCCGTCAAGTTTGCAAGACAACAACTGTCAGAGCCAAATGCCTTTCTGCAAAAAGTTTTCTTCCTTCCTCTGAAGACAAGGGTTCAAGCATGTGAACATGAACTATTGATGATGGTACTAAATCAGCAACTGCTTTATTCCGTGTTGTTAGCATTACTCTTACTGTTTTTGTGGTTATCAAGTAAAGCAAGCTCTACATCACTCTAAATTTTCAATTTTCCACACTTCATCGAACACAATCATGTAACACTTGTCCTTTAAATGTTCGCTCAGCTTCATGATCAAATTCATCTCATCCATTCTGTTTGCCTCCATTCGAGTGGGCCCGGTTGAACGATAAAATTCTTGTAAAATTGTCCTTAGTAAATCTTTCTTCAAGTATTCTTTCCCAACTGTGATCCAAGCCTGGCAATCAAAATGCTTCTTCACCGCTTCGTTGTTATAAATTTTCCCAGTAAGAGTGGTTTTTCCTAGTCCTCCTTCGCCCACCACTGCAATCATTGAGCGAATATTGGATGTTCCTTCCACCAATAAAGAAATCAATTTTTCTTTAGTAGATTCTATACCCACAACTTCAGCGTCTTCAATGAAAATAGAACCAACTCTAGAGTCATGAGTTATAACACTTCTCCCTCCACTGCCTGGCCCTTGATCTATGTGCTTGAAGTTGTAGATTTCTCCTCTTCTCAGTATATTGGCAAGTGATAGTTCGATATCTTTAATCTTAGTGGTGATTCCACGTTGCAGTTTTTGAATCTTTATGAAGTAGCACGCTTTATGAATGTAACAAACGAAACCTCTGCCATGAGGAAGTCTAGCCGCCTTCATCGTGTACTCATCGATGGCATCTTCAATCCTGAAAACTTCTTCCCTCAATTGGTTCACCCAAGTTTTGACACCTTTATTGCCCCTTGTTTCTCCTTCTGCAGCTCTATCTGCATCCTTGAGAAAAGATCTGATACTCTCCAGTCCACGTTTGATGTCTTCAACTCCTTGTTTTGCATTTCCCAACAACTGGATTTCTTGGACGAGGAAAGAACTCAAGATTTGTATAACAGAGTTCACTGCAGCCTCTGCCATATCTCAAATCTCACATTTTTCTTGTTACTCACAGCATTGATGTCAAAAGTTTCTAAAATTTAAATGTTACGGCCTCTTGAAAGTAATAGCTGGTTATGGAAAAAGTTAACCCTCCACCCTCCATGAGGCTAAAGAGACAGAGTTCACATGTATGGCTTCATTAAAAAATAGACTTATTAGATCGAGCCTCCGTAAGACTAAAGAGACAGAGTTCACATGTATGGCTTCATATATACATACATATATATAAGACTTAGATCTTGAAGAAGTGATAAATATATGCATGCATTTCCATGGAGAAAAGCAGTCTCAACTTGGGTTGAAATAGAAGAGCAAGACAGAAGGATGAAGAAATAAATGATCTTGAGCCTTCCTAGAAATGAACTCCGGGTTGGTCTTGGTTTTTATCTTCATCAATACCAAGGCTTCTGGTGCCTATCTCCTTTCTTTCATCGGCATCATTTCCTTTCAAAGGAACTTCCGAGCACAAGATGGAGCCATAATTCTAAGCACCTATCCGAAATCATGCAGCACTTGGCAAAAAGCTTTCACATTTATCAGGGCGTGAACAAAAACGAAGCCCCTTAAACTGTATTTCACGCCCTGGTTGATGCGTGATGACCTGAGTTATTGCCAAATTAAGTGACTGAACTAAAGTAAGTGCTTTGGCACGTGTGATTAAGGTTACACTAGAACGTGCCGTAGCTTACATGGACCGCCTTGTCGTTTTCTGGGTTGAGTCTATCTCGGTGCGACCTGAAAACTGAACAATATATCGAAAGGCGGGCAAATATTTTCCCCGATAAACCATCAATATTTCTCTAATTCACAGAAAAGTCCTCAATATTAATTAAAAAAACAGTAATATTAGCTCCACGATTCAATCTTACAACCTTCTCTCATAATCTCCAACGTGGCAATTTGTAGTTGGTCAGTTGCAAATGGATCCCACCTATTTTTATGGGTCTCGCCTATCGATTTACAAGTTAATTAATTACGAGTTGTCTCATCAAGGGTTATAAGATTGGGTTATAGAGCTACTAGCATTACTCTTTAAAAAATCCCAATATTTTTCTTTAAACAATGTTAAACTTACAACTGAGTCATATAGACGAACAAAAAACAAAGGATAAAGTAGTTATTTTATATAAATTTTATGCAATTTTTTTCTGTTTGTATAACTTAGTTGTAAGCAAAATATTATTCTTTTTCTCTATTTTTAAGTCTAAGTATCTTACTCTTTGTTAGGGCCAAAAATCGTCTTTGGCCCAAATAGGAAAGCGGGCTCGACATTGAAGAAGAAGCCAGGACCAATCCCAATATGACCCACCCAGATTAGGCCCATTCGGTACAAGATATAGCCGGCCCAAACTACGTGGGCATGAGCCTCCTAATCCCAGTCCATTTCCTAGGTCCATGGGCAAATCCAGAGCCCATGGTCCCCTCAGAATACTTTCCTACTCCTGATCAATCTCCCATTCAAGGTCACCTTCCTTTTTCTAATCACTTTCCTGCTCGAAGTTACTCTCCTAATCAGAATCACCTTCCTATTCGGACACTGGTAAGACAACTTACCATGGCCCTAATTCTTCTAGGGTTTGCATCAGAGTCATACTAGGACTCCTACTTCTACTAGGATTGGGAGACCAGACAGTCACTATATAAGCAGAGGCCAACCCTCTCACAAAGGACACGACATTACACCTTCACACCTAAGGCTCATACTTGAGAGCTTTACATCACCGCCGTAGTCACAGTCTCCGACTAGACTTCCGGTAACCTTTTTATTCCCTAACCTTCACTATACTAGCCTCTTTCAGCCTTGCTGACTTGAGCGTCGGAGTGCCTACGGCAAACATCACCCCGGTGTTTCCCGTTCGCTTCACGCGTGTGTTTCTCTATGTGTACAAGTGCAGCAGATCGCTAGTGGCCTCAACCTCACGGGATCAGACCCCCCTTCTGTATAGGTAGATTTTCACGTCTACAGTTTGGCGCCCACCGTGGGGCCTCTAGCAATCATTCGGCTCGACGAACCCTGTTGCGTAGAGGAACTTGCCATGGCTGACAACTCCGATAACGCTAATCCCGGCCTCGAGGCCAAACTGGAAGCTCTAACCACTCTCATGCAACAGAAATTAGACAAGGTGGCTGCATTGGAAGCTGAGAACAATGCAATCCGGACGGAAAACGCATCCGTCAGGTTAGAAAACCAATCCCTCAAGGAGAAGGTGAGTCAATTCTATGACCTAGAGTTCCTGCCTGGCCAAGCACCCCTTAATCGGTTCCACACCCTTGTTCCGCCCATGCAACCTCTCCTTACGCCGGAGCCCCGACCCTCGGCCTCTGGCAAAAGGCTGTGTCCCTTAAACCCATATGCGGCCGACAATTCTGTCCTAATTCATGGAGATAAAGATATGCCTGTAGAACACCAATCAGCCGATTCATCCCAGCATCAAGACCAAGACAATCTGGTGGCAGAGAGCCCTCATTGATAGGACCAGCTCAATCTAACCATCCCAACACATACTCCACTCGGCTCGGCTCATCCTCGCAGGATGAACGGCCAAACTAAACCAACAACACCCAAGCCCATCCATCCTGACCAACCGAATGACTATCAGAGGACTCCTCCGACCATCCATGTAGGGCGAAACACCAGAACAGTTACCATGGGAGTCATCCAACCAGAAGGAATGACCGAAGATCTATGCTACCAAGGAACGCACGAAAGGACTCGTTAGACTACCCCAAGAGGGATGACCCAACGGAATGTACCAAAGATAAATGTAAAGGCCGACCCGGTCATGCGGGATGACCTAATGGCGTCCCCTTCTCCTATGGAACAGGTACTAGCCAAGAGATTGATCGATGTGGAAGCAGTGATGTGACGCATTCCAGGAATGCTGGCCCCAACCAAGAAGAGCAGGCCCCACTGTTAGGCGGATTCACCCTTCATGGACGAGATCGTCCTAGCTGACTTGCCTTATAAGTTCACTATCCCCAACATGAAAATGTACGATGGCACAACCGATCCGAACGATCACATAGCCTCGTACAAGCAGCGGATGTTCACCGTCTCAATACCCCAATCGCTTAGGGAAGCCTGCATGTGCAAAAGTTTCGGTTCGAGCTTATCCGGCCCAGCACTACAATGGTACACGAACCTCCCGAATGGATCCATCGATTCGTTTGCTCAACTCACCGACACGTTTGTGGAATAGTTCGCCAGCAGCAAGAAACTCGAGAAACTATCAGTCGACTTGTACAGAGTATACCAGAGAAGGGGCGAGCCATTGAGAGAGTATGTCAGCAGGTTTAACAGAGAGAAGATTTCCATCCCAGCATGCAACCCTGAGACAGCCGTAGATGCCTTTAGGAAGGGTCTCCTCCCAAACGGAGAGCTATACAAAATACTTACAAAGCTGGGATGCACAACAATGGAAGACGCCCTGGCCCGGGCGGTGATCCAAATAAGGTGGGAGGAGGATGAGATAAACCGAATGATTCACTCCAGATATAAATCAAGGTGGAGCGATAGGAAGCCAGAGCCTGGACCGGTAGAGCACCGCTACCAACCTCCAGCACGTAATATGGGCAGAGTCAAGAAGCCTTATGATCGCCAACCCTCGAGAAATGATAACAGGCAGTTCGGATCGAATCGACACAAAATACCGGAGTACAACCTCAACGTCGAACCAACCTACGTTGTGGCAATAATGAAAGGATTGGGATCTACCGTCAAGTGGCCTGACAAGCTCCAACCCGAGGCAAGGAGAGACACAACCAAGTGGTGTGAGTTCCACAACGACCATGGGCACAACACCGTAGACTGTATTGCCTTACGACTCACTTCTAAAAAGGGGACATCTCCGTGATCTGCTTACTGACAAGGGGAAGAACACCATTAGCCAGAAAAGCTCCAAAGAACCGCCACCCCCTCCGCAGGAACCCACACCGAAAGGTTTCTGCTCGCTCATCTTTGGAGGATTAGAGATCAGTGGGGTAAGTTACCCATTGGCCAAGCAGTATGCTAGAGCCAACCACCACCACAAAGTCCAGTCCATCCATCTGGTCCCGCGGTCACACTCTTATTAGGTAATTCAGTTTGAAGATAACGAACCAGTCACACTGGCCGCCCCTCATCACGATGCTTTACTCGTCTCCCTGCAGATTGCCAACATCCTAATGAAAAGGGTGTTCGTAGATGGGGGTTCGTCAGCAAACATCCTGTTCCTCGAAGCAGTCAAGGCGATGGGACTAGAAGAAGCAAACATCAACGGCGGCCGACACTGTTGGTTGGGTTCAGCTCGGAGCAGAAATACTTTGTTAGAGAGATCGTCCTTCCCATTTACCCCGGCGGAATAAATAAACAGACCATCTTCTTGGTGATCGACTGCCCATCTCCCTACAATGTCATTTTAGGCCAGCCTTGGATCCATGACATGCGGGCAGTCCCATCTATCTTCCACCAGATGATCAGGTTTCCAACCAAGTGGGGGGTACGAGAGATCAAGGGTGACCCCAAAGCTTCCAGAGACTGCTACAAAAATGCCTTCAAGAGCAAAGGAAACTCTTTATAGCAATTACAGTCTCATCCAACCCCTTGGACCAAGCCTGACCAATCGACTATTGAGGAGTTGGATGAAGTGCAGATACATCTGGACGACCCAGAGAGAAAGACACATATAGATTCCCGCCTCGAACCCGAGACAAGAGAGAAGCTGATAGAATTTCTCAAATAGAACGAAGACTGCTTCGCCTGGTCCCACGTCGACATGACTAGAATCAGTCTAGACGCAATGGTCCACCAGCTCAAGGCAGATCCAGATCACCCACCAGTGAAGCAGAGGAGGAGGAAATTCATACCTGAGCGAAACCGGATCGTCAATGAAGAGATTGAAAAGCTCCTAAGCAACGGCATGATCAGAGAGGTCCACTACCCCGAATGGCTAGCAAACGTTGTGGTAGTAAAGAAAAAGAACGGGAAGTGGAGAGTCTAC